ATATACAGGCAAATAAATTAAAAGCCAATAGAACGCATGTGTCGACCGGTAGATGTGTTTCGTAAAATTGGAACGGCCTTTAGCAAGGTTCCCAAAATTTATGCTACAGTCTCGCTCCCTTACAGAGACCATTAAAACTGTCCGTCCATCCGTTTTCAGATTTAAACCAAACGGTCGACCGTCACGAATCTAAAAAACATTTATCACTCTCGATTTTCCGCCTACAGATCCATCGCACAGTGCTACCGTTATTATAAAATTAAGATAAAATTGATAAAAGGATTGAAATCGTTACCTAGATTAAAGTTTATTTTTAGTACAAGCTCCACTGTTACTGTACTATACGAGTACTGTACAAAAAACTGAAGAAAATTAAATCTCACTGATAAATTGTAATATTTTTTTTTATCTAAATATTTCGAAAGGCATTTGTTATTTGTATTTATTTAATCGTATAAATCAATAATTTTTAAATCTTTACATATATATAGCACTTAAAATATTTTATTTTAATTTAGAATGTTAAATATTGACAAAAGTAATACCCAATTTGTCACTGCCTCCACAATTTATAACAAACGTTTCACGCTATATAATTTTCTTTAATGACTACAAAGTTGCACGTTCGTTAACACTGTGCGTCCCCCAACCAAGGAGCGTGTTTTCGGAATATTTTTCATGGATCGTTGTTAAGTAAACGCGGTGCGGGCAAATTTTATGGGCTCGCTGTGATTCTAATCACGTTATACCTACAGTATTAAAGGTGACCGAATGAAATGGTACACTTTCATAACCTTTTAATCAATCTCATTCTTTGGATTCCTATTTTATAATGGAATTAATAAGTCACGAATGGGTTTTAGAGAATTACATCAACAAGAATGAATAAGCCGTTGACGTTTTTATGAATAATGAAGTATTTTATGGGCTTTGCCTACTAATTTTATTATAACGAGTGTAACTGCGACAAGTAATAATTTTAAATATTTTTTTTTTTATTTTAAAGCACATAAAAAGTTATGAAAAGGTAGGCATGTCTACATGTTTGTATTAGTCATAGAATGCAGTAAAACATAAAACATGACCACATTTTGAAAAAACACGTTTTCTATTCAACCCAAATAAGGAAGGAGGCAAGCACATATATTTCCGTCTCTATGTAAACACTATTAACAAATACGTGTTTAGGATTCATTAGCTTCATTAATGGTATTTACCCTCGCCGTTATAATAATTGTAAATTTCAAACTTATATATATTTTACTGTCGTCCAGATTCGAATTCTCAGCAGTCATAGGAATTATATTAACTACTAAACCTCATCATGAAATTGTGTACCTATATACATATTATAGAGAGAAATTATTTAATTGTTTGTTTGTAATGAATAACCACAAAAATTATGTATATAACCGATTTTAAAAATACCCGTACGAAGCCGGACCGGACCACTAGTTATTAAGTACACATCAAATACTAACGTATTAAATATTAAAGAAGTCATGTACTTAATGTTTTAGACATATATATCATAAGAGCTAAATATTGATCTTATTATTATTATGTAGTCACGATTACTGTTATTACGCTAACAAATTATTACCACACAGTTTAGACAGTTTAAATTCAAAGTTTTCCAAGCAAAATATCAAGCAATACGTGTGTTAATGTTTATAGCGAGCGTATAAAAGCAACATTTAAACAAGGGCTAATTGCTAAATGAATGTCCTACACGTTTACTCCATTACAGAAAGTAACCCGTGCAATTTTACTTTACTCACTGCCGGTTGGCAATTTTGGTGCTTTGACATTCATTTATCTCTATTATAGATCTACGGCGGCGTTGGCCGCACCAACGAGTCCCCAGTGTGTCCTCCCCTCTACTAGTAGAGGAGATAATGACGAAGTGCTGGAGGGTAGGTATCTATAGACGTTGCGGTCATGTATTTTGGGGTATTTTATCATTTCAATTTAACGCGCTGGGTGTAAATGTTTGTAATATTTTGATTACCCGCAACGGTATATTTATAATAATATTTATATTAGATATTGTTATTAAGTACCTGGCTAGATAGAAATATGTGTACTGAACTTATTTAAAAAAAAACATACATTAAAATTGGGTACAGAAATGGTTACTAAGTAATGATTTATTCAATTCACTATAAACAAATAGATACATGGCTTCCCTGTTATTCTTTATATTATATTGTATATTTCGTCAATGTCTTCCCCTTACAATTTAAATGTAGATCTTTTTTTATTGTCGCAATGTTTATTTATTTATGATTAGATATTTAACATTTACTAACTTTTAAATAGTATAAAATAAAGTAGGCCGGCTACTTTGATCGGCATCTGTTTATCTGCCTATTACTAAACTACACAACAAATACAGTTTTCATTGTCATTTCAAACAAAAATATAATAATTAGTATATGATTATTACATTTTTATTAAAATATTCTTTGAAGGTTAATGTAACTTTTAAATGCAAATGGCTATATGTTTTTTATTAACTTCCAAATTTATGAACTGGTTTTTATTTAGTTTTTATTATGTACACAAAGAGTGATTGACAGTTACATTAATAGAAAATATTCGTAAATATGATTCCAATAAAACTATTTAATTTTTGAAGATCTGAGAGTCATTTTTATTTGATGAAAGACATTAAGTAAAATAAATTAAGCATACTTTGAGAGAAAAATCGTAAAAATACAATAATTAAAATACCAGTATAATAATGATAATAAAATGTATAATTATGATAATAACATGGTAACCTTAACTTGCTGCAACATCATCTGGAATTTGCAGTATAATCAACTACACACAAACTTGCATGGCAGTGAAATTACTAATACGGAAGACAACATCTTAATCTTCAGAAATAGCAACGAGTGAAGAATATTATGGGAATCTTAATATACTCTGCAATATCTATAATACTGACTATATCAATAAATGAAAGTTATTAATTTCAATCATGTAGATCTTCAGTTTGTTTTATTTTATTTCATCTTTACTTGGACTTCCAGCAATTGTTACACTGATACCATTTAATCTTTGTTTGCCTGATGTACCATAATTTATAATACATACATAATAACTCCGGAATATATGTATACAGTTATTTTCGATCGAGCCAGCGATTTCTATTTACTCTAAATAGCTCTCTAGTTGTTCTACCTTCCTTGTTTTCTGTTACAGGTGTGCCTTTGATTGTATTTTTATTTATTTTTACTACTTACTATTATGTAGCGATCACCTAAACAACAACACCAATATTATATTAATTTGTATCATTGTGAATTAGTGATGCAATATTATTACATTTTGATTTATATTCAGTGCAAATTTCAATACAAGAGACATAATGAGTTACCTATTTTCCACAGATGAACAATAGGCCTGTTTACCGTTCTTAATAAAATAAAAATATTATTATATTGTCTAGTACCAGTAAGACCTGCTTGAAAATAAAAAAAAATCATACACGTCCTAACGTGTTTACGGTGATACATGTTTTTATTTTTAGCATTGAATTTTGAATCTCCATATATCAAGAAAGCATTTCTATTTGACCTCTCTAGGAATCATATTAATAAATGGAATCCATAAAGATATAAATACGAGTACGTGCCTAATTTTATGTGAAGCACTGCATTAAGTAACCTGTAATATGTCCATTAGTTCGAATTCGAATGACGGCAAATTGTGAATAATAAAAAGGATATCTGAATCTGTTACTTTTCAAATGACAAATTAGCGTCAGCGAGTGATACTGATGTACAAAATTAATTATTGTAATATACCAGCTACTAACAGTGGCTTTACTTGTACAGAAGCCATTTCCTCTCGTTTTTATAATCATTTATTTTTATCATCAATAACACTTTATGCTCAGTGATAACATCAAATTTGAACTTGTCTCAATTAAAGAATGGGTTTTTATTTTTAATGAATTTACCTTATTTTGTCTCAAAGAAAACATCGCTTTATTATTAAAATTTGATTTCATTTACAATTGGGTTTAATAATGAAATTTCGACCATTAAGCATTTTATTTTGATGTTTTAGTTTCAGGTAGTTTTGTGTCTAAAATTGCGTGATATAACAAAACTATATAATTATATCCTTCGTCAACGCGATAATTATTAGTGGGTAGCACGGAGTAAAGGTCACATCTATATCGCTCAAGATTATCTCGACATTATGCTCCTTAAGTTCTGTTATTCCTTGTTTGATTTTTTTTTTCGGATTTTCTGACCAGAATATTCACATATAAACTTTTTGTATCCCATAGCGTCGACTGCGTGAATCACTATATAAAGTGTTCTATGTGGTAATCCTTAGCCTATATAACCGTGTATATCCGTGTATCAAATAGAATGCGCTCCGTTCAATAATTTTTACACGAAAGAGTAACAAACATCCATCCATCCTCTCGTAGTAATGGAGAGATAAGTACCCATCGCTATCAGTACACCCTATCAGGTTATCCTCCACGCGTTTCCTCCTGGAAACTATCGTGACTAATTTATATTTGCCTTACCAAATTTTATTATCCAATATTAATTGCTTAATTCCAATAATAATATTCTCTTCTACTTCTTCACCTTGTGGATATCGTAAAAAACTACTAGAATATCAAAGTACAATACTCACATTTAAGCTATAGCAAACTCAAATTAAAACCCTATACAAGGCCATCCAGTCAATGCGATAATAAAGAGTATTATGTAGGGTATATATGCGATAATATTCTTCACTTTTGTGGGGAGACTCATACTCAGAGAATTGTATAATAACATTGCGCATATATTAGCAATTGGCAACGCATGAAAGCTACTACGGGTATCACAGTATTGTTTACGGTGATACTTACATCTATAAGCGACGGTTACCACTTTCTATCTGATAGGTGGTCAGCTTATTTCTCATTTTATATTCTTAATTTACAATTCTTCGTTAAGGAGCTAAATAAAATTACAAAATAAAGTTTTATAGTTGGTTTAATTGTCATTTGTTTTAATGCATTATATATTTAAATGAGTCATAACAAAATTTAAAGTAGTAAGTATGTATAAATAGGCTTACACTACCATTATGACTGTAGGTATCATTGATAAAAGGTATCGTGGCTTGGTTATGCGATAATTAATTTAATGGATAACTTGTATATTTATATAAAAAAAAAAAAACGCTTTATTATGAAAATTTAATTTCCAATTAGATATATTTTCAAGCTTAATAGAAACTGGAATGAAGAATATTCCTACTATTAAATAAAAAAAGATCAACCATAATCTAAGCTGTTTTATATAATGAATGTTGGTTTAACCCTTGTTTTTACTATAAACCTCATTAATGAGCCAAGTATTAGCCTAAGGCTGGCTTTTTTTTAAGTCAAAGTGATTTTTTTTATTTTGGAGAAAACCTTTGATTATTTTCTTTTAATATATTTTCCCTGTAGTTTTCACCCAATAACTAAGCCCGATTTTCTTTTGAGGAAAAAATAAATTCATAATTTATGATCAAATTAAACAGATTTAGTAAGAATTTATAAACTTAAAGAAAATACGTCTAGTAAATATCAGTTGGCTTCACCATGTTTTTTCTTCTCAGACCAGTTTCTATTCAATTGGTACCAATATATATTCACTAAGTACAAAAATATTAATATCAGAGTATCTATAAAGAACATAAGCATTTAAATTAATATACAAAAATAGCCAATCAAAATGTATTATTTGTACTCCTTCCCATCAGAGCAACTGGTTCAAATTGTGATTACATGTCAAGTATAATATGCAGGTAAATGTTATAAGTACGTAGTACATAATAATATTCAAGAAAATTTTCGTCTAAATGTAACTAATAAGTATGCTATAACAATGTTCAGAGTAAAATTAACGACATATAATATTTGAAATTAGTATCTATATTGCTCATATTTGTACAAAGTTTTCATCGAGTATTGGTGTTCTAATTCGAAAATATACAATACTATACAATTATACATGAATATAAATATTCATTTATTGAACATCTTTTTACAAAGCACTTAATAATATTTGAGTACCCATATCTTCAGGAACTAGTAAACAAAACATTACATCGACCCAGAGATCACTCTATAATAGGCGAAAGATTATTCGAGGTTTTTATAACATGACTAAATAAGTTAAGTACAAAATTGGGATTTAGTATTATTATTGTAATGTCTTTGTTTCCACGGGTTATTATATTTACACGACTATATACAAAGCTATCACATATTACAATTTCATTCATATCACTATTTACATTATTGCAAGTTCATTTTTCAAAGTCGATAAGACGATAATTCGCCGTCATAGACGCACGTCGTAAAGAAATAACGTTTACCACATTGTCCTTAGGGTAAAACTTTTGTTAGACGTATACTATGTGCGGTTTCTCTGGTGTTCTGTGGTGTGGGATAGTTTCGTACGCGAACTGTTGATAAATGTGTTCTTCACTATCCTCTTGATAATAAGGATTTTTATCCACACTGTGCCAAGGGGGATTTAAAGAATGAAAATTATTGGTTACAGAAGACCCAATCATTAAGTACCGATCTACTTCTCTCTTGTTCTCCTGCTCTCTTCCTCTTGTTGAATACCCTAACCCATTTCCTAATTTGGACACATCACCGTTCAACATAACACTTGTCATCACCTGCTTCGATTTGTCGCCTTTACACTTCTTTAAAGGTCCCAGGAAATACAAAATTCCACCGACTACACTAATAACAATACTCACAGTTAGCACCACTACTGCTACTATCACCCATCCACTTGAGCACCCAAATTCCGATTCCGGAATCTGTACAAATAGAGCGCCCTTCAAGTGAACCGGGCCTGCACACTTCACATCCTCATAGTCTATTTTTAGAATCAAGCTTGAATTATCAACTATTTTGTTGTTTATTTTACTATCTTTTCCCAGTTTCCATAGCCACAGCAACGAACAATTGCATATAAATGGATTTCCAGAAATCTCCAATTCTTGCAATCTATCTATTGGGAAGTGAGATGCCTCTAATGTTTCCAATGCATTGTTTCTGATGTATATGTGAGTCAGCTTAGGATTACCGTGAAAAAGTCTTGGAGGGACCTCTCTCACTTTTACATTATCATTCATCCATATCTTCTGTAAATTTATATTGTCGACAAAAGCTCTAGAGTCAATTTTGTCAAGTTCGTAAAGTCTGCTTAAATGCAAATGTTTTAAATGGAACAGACTTTGAAACGATAGCGAAGTTATATTCTGAATGAAATTTCCGCTCAGATACAAATGGGACAAATTCGATATTTTAGATAGTGCTGCTGTTGGAATTGAGGTAATGTTGTTGTCGCTAAGATCTAAGTGACGCAGTGAAGGTAAATTGTGGAAACCTAATTGGTCCACTTTTTCAATTATATTGCTATTCAAATCTAAATGTTTCAATTCCTTTATATATGGTATACCATGTTTTGATACTTGTTGTATTAAATTTTCTGATAGATCTAAAAATTCTAAATTAATAACATAGAAAAGATTGGCAGAGGGTATGTCTAATATAGAATTATTTCTGATCGACAATATCTTCAACGTCGACAGGGGCTCAAATGTGTCCGGTTCAATGCTCACAAGTCTGTTATTTGATAAGTCGAGTCGTTCTAACATAGACAAATCTTTGAATGTTTGTGCATGTATATTTGATATTTCATTATCAGATAAATCTAAATCGATGAGTCTCTTTAGTCCCATGAAGGTGTCCTTGTCTAGACGCTTGAGCATGTTGTGACTCACATTAAGATTAGTCATGTCCATGTTGTTTTCAAAATTTTTACTACCTAATTCTTGAATTCTGTTGTACGAAATATCGAGAATAGTGAGCTGGGTATAGAAGGTGAAGGTATAAAGAAGACTGTTTATGGCATTGTGCGTCAGATTGATGTGGGTAACCTCCGGATTTAGTTGTATAGGAACGATCTCGAGGCCAGCGTTGGCGCAAGAGGCAGCCCGCAGTGCGTCGTCGCAGGCGCATCGCGGGGACAAAGCGTGCGGGCCGCAGCGCCCCACGCCCATGCCATCACCACCACGCACCAACGCCATTTTGCTACGCCGCGTGAGCCCATAACATCTCATGTATACGTCACTGGAACTCTGAAACAAAATAAAATTCATATTAATAATTGTTCATTAAACTGAAACTAGACTTTAAAAAATAACATTAATATTTACAATATAATTTAAATAATACAACATAAATTTGAATATAATATATAATTATGTAAAATATCATTAATTATATGTACTAATACATTTAAATCATATTTTATTTTACTGGTATCCTAAAATCTAAATTATGATACAGTCTTCCCTATACCGGGCGCTAAAAATAAAAATAAACAACACTATCAGTGGACGAAATCTTAATATAATTTCTGGCGAAAAGTGTAGATAACAAATGTGCCTCTCCGCAATTTGTATGAGGGGGAATGGAATTGTTTGATCCAAATTAGGCCGATAAGAGACGTGCCATGTCGACTGAATAGTAGCTGAGCCACAAAACTTTTTTATTATCTTTTGTTACTTCGTAACATAGAACGACATAAGTTTCATTTCATTTAATAGCAAATGAAGCTGGAAAGAGCAAGTTCGAAGGGGCGTATAGGTACATTTGTAGATTTTTTTATATAGTAATTCTCTTAAAGCTACTCGATGTCGTCATATGATATCAAGGGAGCTCAGTTGTTTTTCTATTCAAAACCTACGTATAAATTGTTTTAACCCACGCCCCGCTTCTTTGTTACAGGGAGAATTACTTGTTATTAATTGTGGCGCGTTCGAGACGAATGTTCCCGGTAACGGGAAACTAGCGGCTAGCACCCGCCGCTAATCCTCCTTCGCCCGAACGACTCCTCAACAATGCCTCCTAAAATGTTCGTCGATTTAACAAAGGAGCGTTTGGTACTTTAAATTAAATGTTCGGCTTTACAATTCGACGGAATGTATAATGAATAGCACCGTAACATCTGTTAACGAAGGCGAACGATCTCGAAAGTTTTCACGCGCGGGAATAACTAATTGCGAAGGTTGGAATTCAATTTATGGCTTCTAGTGCGCCTCCCGGGAGATCACGCCATGCTAAAGTATTAATAATGCAAAACAGTGTCACGAAAAGTTTTTGATTCGAAATGCAAATTAAATTAGAAAACAAAGTTGTGAGTGTTGAGCTTGTTCCGCCGCTTTATCATTTATTATCGGCTGTATTATGCTAAGTGATTAACAAACAACAGTAGTTTCGTCCAACAGCGTGAAATAACTACAACGATGGGCAGTTTTACAAGAATCCATGACTCAGAATATTAATATGCAACAAATCTTTAAAATATATTAATAAAAAAAGGTATAAAGGTAAAGGTACTTTTTATACAAAGTGTTAAATGTTTTAATTTTTAAGTATAGAATTTATCTAATTAATCTTTAATATTTTTTATATGTGAAAAAGGTAAAAACAAGTATCATAATGTTAAAAACTTATTAGCCAATATTTTCTTCTATCAAAAATTTCAAACAACATAATTTTAACAACAAAAAATCTTAATAAAAACTGTATAGGGTGGACATAATTGTTTTACTTCTTTTAAATATTGCTGATATAATTTTGTCGTCTAAATTAAACTATTTTAGAAGACCCTAATGTGCATTTTAAATAACTATATAGTGAGATGTGAGAAGACATCAGTCTCCCTCAGTAATTTGATATCACCCGGCGCAAATGGATTACGCCAGCCCGCCAGAATTACAGAAACCATACGTAGAGACTTGATACATGAAACATTCCCGTATTAGAACGGATTAATTCTGTTAGATTCCAAATGTATTCTAGATCAAGTGAACCAAAAGATTTCAAGTATAATCTTCTTATTGTAGGGATTTTAAGGTATTAATCTGCGATCTGAGGTGATTCACTATGATTGCTCTTTAGTATTATATTATTTCTAGCTATATCCCGCACATTCGCCAGCCTGAATCAGTATATAAAATATCCTATATTTTAAGATACATATAACATATCCATGTAATAAATTTCATTCAAATTTATTTGTTGATTTTTGCTTAAAATAGTAACAAACATCTATACATTTTCACAAGATTATGCGATTAACAGTAATAGAATTTCCTTAATGTATAAAATTTTAGATAATAAATATACATTATATTTTTGTGTAAACATAATGTAAATTTTATAAAGCAGTTGAACAGAGTATTATATTAGTTATATAAAAAAATGATGAACGTATGGCTCTAGTAGATGCGTAAATGTGAGCGTGCCCTCCATTTCCGAGCTTAATCTGCCCTGGCCGGCACTCTTTGTCTTTTAATTTCCTGTCCAACAGAGTGCGCTCCCATCGTGAATTTCGCTTTCGTGAGCTTCGTTAACTTATATCGACCTTTGTTGTTGCCTATTGAACTTTTCCATTACCAACGTCATCGATTGAAACCGCTAAATTCGTTGGAAAATTCCTGTCGCTGAAATCAACGCGCCCAACAAATGAACAGTTTCCGATATCCTCTTATTTTCCTTAACAGAAATGAGTATGTTTTTAACTTTATGTTTTGTTTTTGTACTGCGGAGTCTTTTGGAATGGAAATTAAATATTTTTTTATCGGGAAAGTTAGAGTGTTACATCATTTAGATGCGGAATTTTAATAATTGTAACGGACTTTCTTTTGTTTGCGAGCGGCTGCCTAATGTAATTTTAAAACATTGCCGAGTTTTATTTAAGTTCATACTCAATTTTGCCTTTGTGTTTTTATGTATCCAAAGAAATACGATTTGGTATTGGTTTCACATTTAAATACAGTTCAATACAATTAATTCGATAAAGCATTTAGAGAATATGCCGGATCCGGGATAACGAGCGACCTTTCTAATTATGTCATAACATCTAAATACCCTTTAGAGCAGGCGGGTTGGTCATAATTTATTATTACAGTTTCTATGTCTACCGTATTTGATATTAAAGATGCCTTCGTCTAATTCAATCCTTTCATATTAATAGTGATTAAAATCATTAACTTCGTTTAAATTATTATTAATTGGTCAAGCTTAATTGTAGGCAAGAAGATTTTTTTATGGATCATAATGGAACGGTAACCCTACCTGCGTTAACAGTATAGGCTAGCGAGGCACTAGTGAGGGATGATAGATGAGGATGATAACAGGCCAGTTAGCTCATCGTGATAAATTCCATAAGAATTAACCAAGACGGTTTTCAGGAGAAACCGTATAGAAGTCAACTTGATAGAATATATTGCTAGCAATGAAGCTATTAGGTCCCCATTATTAACAATCCCTTTCATCCCCCCCCCCCACAACCAGGTTAATTAGATACATCGACCGATCGCCACTCAAGTTACCACTGTTAATACAACTTGAGACGTTACTGACACAAAGGACGGTTTACGAGGGGGAGCTGAGACAATAAAACCAGTGTAAAAGTCGGCTAACTGCTTCTCTCGCCCTTTCCATGAGAAAATATCTTAGTCTACGCTGCTTTTATGAGTTGCTGCCATTTTTAAACATTACCCAGTTTAATCCGGAAACTTCACTGCCCTATTGAAACAATCTTACATACGTTTGTTCTGACATACTTATCTAACTCCCGTAATAGTTATACATATATATTTGGTACTATGGTAGTGTATCTAATATAAAGTAAGGAAAATAAAAAAGTGACATTTCATTATGTTATAGAAATAAACAATGTATAAAAATTATTTTCGTACTCTCTTTACTAATATTTTAAATGTGACAATGAGTTTGTTTGTTACCTTATAGCACCTTAACAGCTTAACGGATCATTATGAAATTTGATATAAAATGATAGAGGATATAGGCTACTTTTTGTCCAAGTCAGTAAACATAACGCGAACGAAATCGCGGGTAAAAGCTAATATTTGTATACATTGGTGTTTTTCGTAAACATATATACTTACGTAGGTGCCCCGGTTAATTTAGATTATAATATAAAAAGAAATATGTATAGTGAAATCAATGTTTATTCCCAATCTGTATTTTTCTTTCTAACTACTATTATATATTATATGTTATATATTACATTATATTATATATTATACTAATAATTACATAATTAGATCTTAAATGTATAATGGATAATATAATGGGTGCAAAGTATAACCGACTACCGTCAGATATCACCTTATTCAACCAGAAAGATAATTTTATTTATACATCTACACCTATAACTGAAACAGTCCATTGTATAGCATGAATACAATGATGAACATAAGTAATAGTGTTCATAGCAGGCACTAAGGAACATAATGAGAAAACTTCAGCTGCACCGGTGTGTGCCTCAGGCAGGGGCAAAAAGAGCAGAGCAGGCGTTCTTCTCATTTCGGATTCAATATATGCATACATTTCTAGGAAAATTAATGTAAATACTTTTTAGATAACTTAGAAAAATATGCAGCCAAAATGGGAATAACCATTTTTATATGCATGTATAACCCAACTGTTACAAATTTTTCGTCTGGGTTCAATCCTCTTTAATTATTTTTAATATAAATTAAAAAAATAACATATACAAAATACTAGCGACCTGCTTCGGTTCCAAGCGGTTTTTTTTTTTTAATAAAATACAGCCCATGTTACTTACTAATAAAGTAGCTTTATACAGATGAAAGATTTTTTTTAAATCAGTTTTCTAAGTTTACCCATTACAAAACTAAACTGAAATTGTCTTCATTATAATATTAGTTTAGATCATTAAAAATTTCTTACAATGACAAAAATAGTTCTATTTACATATTTTTTCATTATTATGTCTGCTTTTCTAAAACAATAAATGAGGCCAATAAGGATTATCATATTTATTTTATTTACATTCATGAAATTGATACAGAGGTAAATTTAAGTAACAACTACTCGTACTAAAAGAGCAGTCTTTTTTTGTATTTACTAAGAAGACTACAAAATCAAATTGTAAACAAGACTCGGATATTTCAAATAGAACTATTTTAAATTGCAAGCACGAGTTCTGCTATCACGAATACTTTCATTACGAAACTACCGTATAGGTACGTAGTTCTGGAAAATGGTGCAATTACCGGGCGTTTAATTAAGCGAACAT